CTTCCTGATGTCTAATCTAAATCTACTCTCCATCTTCTCTTCTGTAGGCTAGAGAAATTGCCTTCCTTCCCCTGATCTACTGTTCAGCTTCTTGCTCCCTGCCCCTCCCCTATCCCCTGTGTGCTACAAACACAGTGACATGCATGCCACAGATTGGCCACCCCTGGACTAGGCCTTGAGGTCCCTTGTAGCCATATTTTCTGTTTCTCTAGCATTGCCGCCTTAGCTGTTGATGAAGCATGACTCAACACAAATCTTGTTTTCCTGCTTTAATTTGTTAGCAGGAAGAAGGAGGTTGTACAAAATCAAAGAAATCTAAGATAAGGAAGGCTGCTATCTAGGCTATGGATGTAGAAGAATGCATAAAGAAAATATAAGGTATTTCTATGACAAATCAGAAAGATTTCCTCCTAATTGCTCCCATCCTTAAGGTTCAGGACTACTTTATAAAGGAGTCTTCTCACTAGACAATTAAGTCTCTTCTGAGATAAAATACTAACACAATAACAAGCTTGGTTTTGTGGTTTATTTGTACACTTGCAAATAAAAGCTGCCTTTCCATTTTCCTTCCTCTCCTAGCATGGCCTTTCCTGCAGGTAAGCAACCTATTAAACTAGAGAAGAATCCTGACCTTGGAAGTGCTTAGACTTTTTGTTTTAAACACAGGTATGACTGGACAATTTTTTCTTTCCATTCTTTTTCCTTCAAACCCAGAAAACCTAGATTCTCTGAGGGCAGTCTTAATCTAAGCTATGGTTCATTTCACCTGAATAGAGTCCTATGTAAGTTTTAGTACAGTGACTGGACAACTGAGTTGTGGCCATGTCCAGACATGTGTGGATGCTACGTTCCCTGGGGACAACTAGCAACAGCACACCTTGTGCCGCTGCTAGTTGTCTCAGGGAAATGCCTGTGCCATGTGCCCTCTGATGCGTGGGGTAGGGGAGCACTGGGCTGGCCCCAGGAACCTTACCTGGGGTCCTGAGGACCTCCCAGGGTTGCAACAGTGACAATCCTGCTGTTTGAAGCCTGACTGTAAGCGGAGCGCAGCTTTGGCCAGCCAGGCTCTGGCTTTGGGTGGCACACGCTGCCACCATGTGCACTACTCTGCTTTTTTGTCCCTGCAGGTTTTTTTGCCTTCTGAATATCCAGGGGTCAAAAAAGCACTCTGCACTGTTCCCTTGCAGCATAGAGAACTGAACATGAGGTATGTGGTGCCGTAGACATGTTTGAGATGCCACATACTGCGTGGCAGCGTTCATCTGAGTTCAAAAGAAAATACCAAGTGATTTAAAGAATAGTTGTATGAATCATATCTGAAGGAACTGTGCATCCTGCATCATGCACAACAAATGGAAGAGTAAAGGATATTAATAAAGAGAAAAGTGTTTAAAGAATGTTTGCTTAAAGAAAAATGCTTAAATAACGTGTTAATCTAGCTTCTGGCTTCAACATAAATGATGATGATTTGGCATGCATTCCCTCTCTTTCAAGCAGTTTATTTCCTATCCCTCTATGTTTCTTAAGATGGATTCATTTCCTGAGATGAACATTCTCACTCTATTTTGTTCTGCTAGAAACATGCCTAGTCCCTTATAATCATTGCTCCATGTAGTGCCATCACACCTAGGCCCTGACCAAATCCTGTGCCTGTATCAAACATTTGATTATCTGTTCTTGAGATGCAATGCAATAATTCCACTTCAGTTTCAAAAACAAGGCAGTTTAGGCATGGCCATACCTCACAAGAAGCCTGTACTACAACATGCAGCATCTGTGTTTGTGGCTATGTGCGACTGTGACGACCTGGCACCAAAGACTGACTCCGAGATGCAGTAGCACAATAAAGGGGGTGGGGAAACTGGAGCACCAGCCTCAGCTACGGACCCTGGCTGGGGGTACGGTGGCACAAAAAGAGCAGCAGCTGTGCTTCCAATAACAACACCACTGCAGCCAGGGAACTGGCCCCATGCATGGCTACCACCCACAGTGCTCAAAATCCCAGTTTCGCTTTTGCTGAGATGTGAGCCTTAGCATTATCAAAATTTTTATACTTAATTTAATGCAGCGTTACATGACAATAGTGCCCAGATGCTGCAAGCAGGATCAAGACTGCATTTCAGCAATGTATCATCTGTTCCAACACATGATTGAAGGAAAACTATCCTGAAGATTTCAAAAGATAAAGCTTCTAAAGGTTTCGCTGGTGTTGGAGATGGCCTAAAGTCTAGTACTGTACTAAACTGGACCAGAGGGTACATGCAGACATTACATTTAGATGGACCTGACTAGGGGTAGTTTGATCTAAATGCACATCTTTTCAGACATTCAGGGGGTTAAATCAGGGAGGGGCGGGGAGGAGAATGGCAGGCCTGGTTGAAGTTAGTTTACCCGAGTAGGTTTAACCCAATTCAACGAGTGTCTGCACACATTTACAGGGCAACCCTTGGGCTGAGAAAGCCTGGACATTCACTCCAGCCCTGGTGCTATGTTATTCCTACCCCCCGCCCCCCGCCCCGGAGGCTGACTGGGCTATTTTTAGCCCCCTTGAGCCCCTACACACTAAAACAAACAACCCCCCTGCAGACACACCAGCCCCTGTCAGTTCCTCCCACCACTGCATTTCTTACATTGGGTTTCCCATACAGCTCTTGGCACCAGCAAAAGCCTATACATGATGCTCCACTCTATGCTAACACAGCTTAGAGCTGCATGACTGTAGACCCAGTGAAGAGAACATTAGTATGCACCCCAAGACTCTGGCTCCAAGGGTCCTTGCTCTGGTACAATGTAGTTCTCTTGCTTGCTAGCTTTTCTTTTACATCTTACTCTTCTCCTGTGCTGGTGGAACACTCAAATGCAGTGTTTGCAAATGCTTATTTGCTTTTCAATATATTCTCTCCTTAAAGTTATTCCTGAACCTTTATCAGTTACTGTGAGGCAGCATATATCTTTTAAATGAATTAATACTCATTATGTGTAGGAGGGGTTTGACTTATGACTGTATAAACTCGCAAGTGATTATAGCAAAGGGTCAGTTTTTACAATGAATAGGAGCCAAGACCCACAACCTCCAGTAACTGGTACTGGAAATAAAAGTCCCAGTACTCTTAATTGTTCTGGCATGAATCAGGAGTATTTCCATTAAAGTCAAGAACATCTCATATATAAAACAGCACAAGAGGAGCCCAGGCCCCAACTTTAATATATATATTTTTTGTATATAAAATCTTTTGGAAGAGGATGTGGGCCTTTCCTTTTACAAATAGCAACGTATTTTAAGATTAAGGGCAAATTCAAAAGCGGTACCTTGGCCCCTCCTGAATCAGATATAGACATGTTTTTTTTCATGGAATGGGGTGAGGGGCAGGGTTGGGTTGGTTTATTTTAATTGGAGCTCTCTCATGGAAGAAGAGATGGGCCTGATAGCTAGCTGTCCCACTTCCTGGGTGAGCATTGTAATTAGTAGGCTGTTTTACAGGAGGTAGGTGGCAGCACCTACCTTGGCCAGCCCAACTGCTGCAATTTCTGCTGGGCTTAGTTGGTGTGCATCATGCATGCTCTGGGCATCCTGACATAAGTAGGCTACTCTAGGAGTGTTCATAGGGTTTAGATGTCACTCCATATCACATCTGATCACAACAGAGCTTACATGGGAACTAGAGCTGGCAATAGGCATGCGTGTTTGCATTTGTGGAAAAGACTTACTGGATGAGGAGCGGAGGCAGTGGGACACTGCACCAGAAGACGAATGCAGCAAAAGTGAAACCACAGCAGGTAGAGCTGTGGGCAAAAGCCAAAACGAAAAAAAAAGTCCAAGCCCAAAGGAGCCAGAACCAGCTCCCTCACTGGTGCGGGCATGCTTTATAATAGTGTGCTGGGACCAATTGGTTGGCCAGACCCCCCAGTCCAGGATAAAAGACCAGGCAGAAGACAAGCGGAGGGGACCATAAGTGGAGTCTCCAACTGACCCGGAGGGGCCAGAGCTGGCAGACAGTCCCAGTGAGGATACCTGGTGGTTACCCCAGGAAGGGGTCTCCATGAGAGCACAGGGCCAGAGAGGTCCTGAGGATGTACTTACAAGGTTGTTGTGGACAGAGGAAGCCTGCAGTGAAAACTGAAATCCGGTAGGACCCAGCAGTACCAGAATCCAGACATGGCTGACCGATGGCAAGTACTGAACCCGGGAAAGAGGTGGCACACCAGGGGATGGAACGGTACCAAAGCTGGACGATGTATAAATGAAGGAAAAGGGGGCTGTAGGAAGCGCTCGGGATAGAAACAACACCCCTATCCTGCAGCCATAAAATTCTGAGCCAGACCACCGAGAAGGTACAGGACATCAACTCCAACAATACAGGTGATGACATCATGATTGGCCTTAGGCAGGGTGTAGGGGAGGTGGAGCCCCAAACAGGAGGAACAGCGGGAACGACCAAGAGGAGGCGCCAGGGGAGACGGGACCAAACATCTCCCTCCCAATCAGAAATTATTTATCATCAAAGATGTGGCAGGCGAGGCCCCCTGGGGAACAAACCCGAAGTCACCCCAATAACCAAACCGGTCATTCCTAAGAACAACAGCGAGGTTTGAGAGGAACCCCCATATGCGACATCCAGGGGAGAGACACAGGAGGCTACAGCATTCTTATTAGAATGCTCAGGGGAGAGACACAGGAGGCTGCAGCATCACCTCTCTGTCATGCATTTCAAAATGGCCACAGGAGTGCTTTAACTAACCCTTGTTGAATCAGCTTTAGTTAAAGCACCCCCACAGCCATTTTGGAACATGGTGGGGATAGGGAGCCTTAATACACATGACAGTGATGTGCTTTAGAGTAACTGTCCAAGAACTGCTGTAATTAAAACACACTCCCAGCCCCCCACCCTCTCCACACACCACTTCTGAATACATGTATAGGCAACCTAGGTGCCTAGCTGTTCAGTCCATATTAAGGTCCTAGTGAACTTTGTAGTCCAAAACATAAGTGCCAACTGAATGTAGGTCTCTGGGGGTTTGGGGGTTTTTTTTTTATGGCTGCTGGAATAGACTTTTTTTTGGTCTTAGGTGTCATAAAACTCAAACTTAACTAACCGTGCACACTCATTCCAGCTTAATAATGCCAGGCATGATTAATGTTTTCAACAATAGCTTACAAATCTTTTTGTCTACTTTTGATTTGCTTTAGAGTGTAAATAAAAAAAAATCTGAAAATGTTTGATATCCTACACTTACTCTGTAATAAAGTTGTTAAAATTGCTTTTTCTGTCAGAAGTTGCAGCTAAAAGGAAAGCTGAGCTTCTAAGGTTAGACCAGAAGAGGGAGCTGCAGAAGAAAGCAGTGAAACTGTGCTAGCGGAACTTTACAAAGGACAGGGAAATGTTACAGAACTAAAAATTGTTCTATGGTTCAGCCTTGATTCATAGAACACCTCTTGATGGTCCACAGAGCTCTGCCTTGTCAAATGGTCCTGGTTTTTTTCCTTGGTTTTAATTGTTAAATTTCACTTGGAAAAACTAAAAAGTGTGTGCTAGTATTACTTTCCTATTAAAGCACTTTCTGAAGCTGACATAGGAAAACTATGCAAATAAAAAAGAGGGGA